AAGAAAGTGAAAAGTCAACCCCAGAGTGGAAAATATTTGCAAATTATATATCTGATAAGAGACTGGTATCCAGAATATATAAAGAATTCATAAATCAATAATAAAAAGACAAACTGTCTAAAAAATGGGCAAATGATTTGAATAGACATTTCTGCAAAGAAAATACGTGAATGGCTAATAAGCACATGAAAAGATTGTGCTTTAATCATCATTAGTCATTAAGGAAATGCAAATCAAAACCTCAATGAGGGCCGGCCGGCCCATGGCTCACTCGGGAGAGTGCCGTGCTGATAACACCAAGCCAAAGGTTGAGATCCCCCTTACCAGTCATCTTTAAAAAAACAAACAAACAAAAAATACACCTCAATGAAATACCACTTCACACCCTCCAGGATGATTATAATTAAAAAAAAAAACAAAAAACAAGATACGTATTGAAGAAAATGTGGAGAAACTGGAACCCTCATACATTGATAGTTGGGTTGTAAAATGATACATCCACTTTGGAAAACTGTTTAGCAGTTCCTCAACATGCTAAACGGAGTTAACTTATGATCAAGCAATTCCACTCCTAGGTACATACTCGAGAAATGAAAACATACATCCACACAAAGACTTATACACGAATGTTCATAGCAGCATTATAATAAGGAAAGAGTGGAAACAATTCACATGTCTGACAACAGATGAATGGATAAGAGAAATGTGGTACGTCCATATGATAAAATATTCAACAATAAAGGAATGAAGTACAGACACATGCTACAACATGTGTGAACCTTAAAAACGTGCTACATGACAGAAACCAGTCATAAAAGGCCGCATATTATTCATTTATATGAAATATCCATAATGCACAAATACATAGAAACAGAAAGTAGCTTAGTGGCCAGGGGATGGGGAAAGGGAGAGTAGGTAATGACTGCTAATGGGTATGGGGTTTCTTTTTGGAGCGATAAAAATGTTCTAATATTAATCGTAGTGTTGGTTGCACAACTCTTCTAATATACTAAAACCACTGAATTGTATACTTTAAAAATAATGAATTCTATGGTATGTGAATTATGTCTCAATAAAGCAGTTTTTAGGGCTGGCCGGTGAGCTCAGCT